GTATTCCTCAGCTGGTTTTGCACATGGCAAAACATGGCCCCAAGTAGTGTAGCTCGTGTTTCTGATGGGTGTTATAGCCACGGCCGCCAGGCAGTTAAGAAAGATTGCCAAATATTGCATTTTATGGCTTGAAAACTTTAAAAGAAGACTGAAATGCAAGGAAGACAGATTTACAGAGGTGGCAGGGAAGGGAAGGGGTAAGTTGGAAAGAAACCAAGACAAGATGGTGAGAAGGAAAGGAGGGAATACATGGGGAAGGCAGACAAATGGACCAGGCAGGAAACCAAGTGAAGGAAAAAGGTGAAAGAGGAAGCAAACAGTATGGTCAAGAAAGGGACAGTGAGGGAATGGCAGAAAAAAGGGAAAAGAAAATAGTGGAAAAGGAGCCAGTGGAGGAGGGGGAAATGCAGAGCTCCTTTCTAAGAGATAAGGGAAAATAAATGGAGGCTGCTGCTTGAAGCAGCCAGCAGCAAAGTAACATATTACTGGGTGTGCATTTCAACAAGAAATGTACATTAGACGGGTAACAAATTACACAGGGTTGTCTTCCCCCTGGGCAGAAATCACAGAAAGAATAACTGATATTCTCATAAGTCTTGTGATTTTGGGGTCTTTGGACAGGCAGAGTTGGAAACATATGGACTGCAGAAGATCAGTATCCCCTCCTTGAGGGGCTCTGGCTTTGCCTCACCCATGTAGCTGTATATTCTTTTGATCACAGACATGAAATACAGAATTAAATTTAATTATTCTTTGGCTTTATTTTCTCCTGAAATTCAGCAGGATTTTGAAATCCCTCCATATAACACTCGTCTCTTTGCTTGCATGAAAACACTCCTAATTGCTGATTATACTTTTTGAATATAACCTTCACTGAAGATCATTCAAAGAGGACACACGGATGCTGGACAGAGCTGTGCTCTTCTATTTGGGTGTTCAGATTGAGATCATCCAAGTCAGCATGCAAATGCTCTAAGGTGGCACTTACTCATCCTGCCAGAAGAGTTTGGTGCAATGGCTATTGGATTACTATTTATATTCCATTAAAAATACAGCAGTAAGCTTTTAGGGCTGCAAGGTCAAACTTTGAGGAGAAAGAAGATTCCCAGGCTAAGGCAGGATAACTCTTCTGGTCTTATATGCCTATGCACTAGGACAGATTTTATTCAGAGGATCATGTGCAATTTTTGCAAGGGATCCCCTTATCATTCAATGCACAGGGTTAGACATTACATTAAATCTTTCCAAAGAACTCTAATCCATAAAAATCCATCACAGAAAACATACTGAATGGCTGATATTTGGCAATCAGGTGGCAGCCAGGCAGTAATGCTTTCTGCAGCACTCCTGACTTTGTCTGGAAATTTCTAACTGTAATACTGTGAGGTAAAAGTACTTCTTTGTGCTGGTTTGGCAGAAATATGTAATGATGGCTTACAATGTAGATTAGCTACCAGCACAGCAGGTCATGTAATTAGCCTGGGTGGCTTAATAAAAGGTAGTGCAGAGCCTCCATCAGCCCTTTCATGCTGGCTGGCTGTGGGTTGGAGGAGATTGTAGGGACAGCATGTGGCTGATCACGAACAGCACAACATGAATTCCCTCTCCACCACTTGCCTCACATGTAAAGACCATCCCCAGCCCCTGGGGACCAGCACCACATGCCTGAGGGTGACATGTGCTCAGAGCACCCATCCCAGGGTTTCACAGAGTGGGGTCATTTATGTTTCGATGACAAAGTGAGTAACGATCCTCAGAGCTTTGTTGGGAAAGCCTCTATGAATCCCCAGTAGCACTGCAGAGCAGGACAGGGAGAAAAGGGGAGCACCCTCCCACCCCCACAAACACCAGGGGCTCTGCTGCCAGGAGAAAAAAACATTTCCAATTCAATTGTCTTCCTTGTGGCAAAGCTGAGATTCACATTCAGGGCATTTAAAAGTCATAAATCAAAGCATCCACAGTAGAACTTCAATTGGTCAAGATCAGCCTTTCCACACAGGCAGGCAAACACCCATCATGGTAAGCTCTAGTGCCTGCTTAAAGCCATCTTACCAAAGCAAGCACACAGCTGCATTTTCTTTCAAAATACTACTGCAGCCTTTTAAGAGAGAGGGGGAATAATCTAAATTCTGGCAGTGGAGAATACTTCACAAATCATATATGCTTTGGCATCAAGCCCTTAAAGCCAGAGGCCTTTACTCACAGGCTTTGCTGGGAGAGATCCACCCACCTCAAGTGGGATTAATTAAAAGAGGCATGTATCATGCAAATAGTTTCTGTTTCCTTACAGAAATATTCAGAGCACATAACCCAAAACAGCTTTAGAATCAGAGCGAAGCAAGGAAGAAAATTATTTCCTGCTCCCCTAAGTCTTTCCCTGTACATTAAGGGAGGAACTGTGAGAAAACAGTGAGAGCTCGCTATTTCTGTACAATTCCTTTGATTTTAAGTTGAATATTATTATTCAACTAATAAAGTTGAAGAAAAAAGTTATGTTTTTAAAGACAGGGACTGTATCTCGGTAAAAGGTGCTAAATTTTCCACACCAAACATGTGCTAAGCTACTCATTGGAAAAGGACAGTCCCAGGTCTTACCCCCTGAAAACGATCTTTTATCTTAAGGCAGAACAGGAGAAAATGGAAACCTTATATTTCTTCAGCATGTCAGGATTTTCAGCTCCACATGACAGGGCCTGCAAGAAAAAGCTCCTCTGGAGAGCGAGATAAACTTTAAAATACTACTTTCTTCTCAGGAAGCTAAACTATTTCCCTAGATAGGAGAGATCCCGACACTTCAAGGAATCACTGCAGAAAATGGTGGTGGAGCAGTTCAAGCACAAAGCCCCAGTTCAAAAGTAAGTCACAAAAAAGCACAAGTTTCTACAAGAACTCTTCCTCAAAACACTTTTTTCCCCCTTTTAATATCTCAGACCCATTTTCTGAGTCAATTTCCTATGATCCTGCAAAGGCTGTTATTAAAACCAGACCAAGCGTAGCTGAAATTCCAGGGCTTAAAAGAAACATTTAATAGGCACAGGAGCTGGCCACACTGTCCCCCTCAGGTGATTTCCCCTGCAGCCCCTTCCCTGGGATTTCCTCCCTGACAGTTTAGTCAGCAGGAGAAACCTGAAGTTTGGGCAGACCAGCAAACCCTTTCTTCATTTTTCAGCAGCAGAGATTTTTTTTTGTCGAGGCTTACATAGCTCTAAAAAAGAGAACTAGGATCCAGCCCAGAAGATGCATATTGCAGATATTTTTTCCACAAAAATGTCAGGCAGTCACACATTCAATTATGTATCTAGCTACAGCATTTTAAAATCACTGACCTCCTTTATCCACCAGTGCTTTTCATGCCACCAGTGGCAGTCCCGAACTGAGTCATTCACAGGCTGCTTACCCACGTGTCTTTTGTGCGCTAGAAAATTCCTTTCTGGTCTCCATCCCACCTAGCACTTTGGCATGAAAGAGATGATCATCAGACATGCTCTTGGCAAGCCACCTCAGGAAAGCAGTGTCCATGCAAAAGCCCGGCCGGGCAGGGTGAAGGAGACGTGCTGGCTGGCAAGGCGAGGGGAGAGGAGCCATGGTTCTCTCTGGCAGCACAACTGGCAAAACACTGGACCCCATCTCGTCTCTAATCTGTGATTTCCCCTCCCATGGCACAGAGGAAGCACCGGGGCCAGAGCCCTCTGGCCCAGCCCCAGACTCTCCCACGAGGGGATGATCCTTGGGCTTCTTCCCTTCCAGCGCAAAGCTCAGAAAGGCAATTCCAGGTTTCTCCCCAATGGCCCCTACTGCAAGCTACAGGATATCCACTAAGATGAAAGAGTGTGTTTTGTGGTTGGGCATTGATGCAACAACACCCTTTTCATAGCAAATACATAAAAATACTCCATTCCTTTGATATACCTCATTTATTTATTCTTTCTATTATAAAGGGTAATTATATTTGAAACACTAAGCCTCAAGTTTAAGTTACTGACAACTACAACAGATCTCATCTATCTAAAATAAAGTTTTTCTCCAAAGGTTCTCCTCTCAATTACCATTTTTAAAATTGAAAATGTGCACATTTTATTTTTGTTTCTATTTAACTGGCGGGTTTGGTTTTTTTCAAACCATGACTACTTTCAAAGTAACAGTTAATTTATCAAAAATGGAGAAACCCCTTTGTTCCAACATTGCCTAATCTGCCCAGCCCCTCATAATTTAAGAAGTTAATGAAGCCCTCGGAATCAGAGGTTTTCATATATATATGTATATATGAGTGATTATGTGTATTACATCATTATGAAAATAAACATTAAGGACATTTTATCCATATAACCTATATAAAAAAGCAGTCAATGCCACAGAAAATTATAAAATATACAAAGCTACTTTAAAAAGTCCTGATAAATGCAAAGCCCTGGGAAGAAAAGGAAACTATGTGCTGAAGAAAATCCTGTTCCTTAACTAATTGTTTTGTACCATATGATCTACACTATGGACTGTTTTCAACTGGCTGTAAGTTACTGGCCCTGCAGGACAAGAATCAGACTCCTACCAGTTTGTTCCACTGGTTCTGCAAGGATTGCTCCTGTTCTATCCCAGAAGAGCCATTACTTCCTCCGGTGAGGATTCAGAATGGCAGAGGTGAGGACCTGCACCCCTGCACCACTTCTGGTGGAGGGGTAGGTGACCTCTCTCTCTCTGAACCCCTGTGTGGGTACAACACAACCAGAACTGGGAGGTCTTAATGTAAGGAAATCAGTGTCTTCCAACTGACTGACTGGATTTTTTTTTAAATGAAAAAAATCTTCCTATCTTTTCAACAAGTCTTATTTGTGCTAAAAATTGGTTCCTCAAAACAGCTTTGACTCTCTGTAGGGAATGCCCAGTTTTGCTTTGCTACAAAATTCCCTCAACAATGGCACTCAGCTTTCCAACACAGTGCAGGGTCTGTCTGTTATGCCAGAGGGAGAGAACCATGCCACCACCAGGAAGATCACACATCTTACCTTGGGACACTGGGAGGAGCCCGGGTGGGCCGGGAGGGTACCTGGGGAGGTCCTCCATGGGCTTCTCCAGCACTTGGGAACGGAGGCAGTGGTCCTGGGCGGAACGGGACCGGGGGAGCCCCTGACTGAGGGCCTGGAGATGGGATTGCAGGAGCTGGTCCTCGGCCAGATAAAGGTCTGGTTGGGGGATTGTTTAATGTCGGTCTCCTTGGAGTTGAGGGACTTGGAGGAGGTGATCTAGTGAAATAACAGATTTTAAAAGTTCATTAAGGCGGGGGTTTGTTTGTTGTATTTTATTTCACTTTAAACAGAAGTTAAAACCTTTTTTATACCTATGGCAACTGTTTTTTCTTGGCATTTTCCTTTGCTGTCAGTGTCAGAGGATCACATATAATTAAGTCCCACACTCTTCCCATTGACAAAATACAAGTAAAGAGGTAAATGTAATAGATTTTATTATTCAAGTTTTAAGAATGTGTTGTTAAGTGGGTTTTCTAGGACATAGAGCCTGAGATGCTGAATTATTGTAACAGCTTGCAAGAAAGAAGCCTTGTGGATGTACAACTGGGGTGACAGAAGCAGCTGCTATTTGAAGTATCAGACAAGCTACAAATCCACTGGATGGTCTTCTACAAGGCAGATATTCCTGTCTGGTGTCACATACATATCCACAGAAGATGTATATGTGGGAAAATGTTTTGATTTCCCTCACAGATGTCATTAAAGACCTGGAAGAACATCTTCCCAAAAAGACAGGCAGGGAGGGAGCTACTGATGCTGACTCCGTCTGCCTGTCCCGAATTTCATGGCAATACAGATTGGAGGCTCCTCACCTGCGGGCCTGCTGAAGCCACGAGTCATCCACAGGAGGGGGAGCAGGGGTTGAGACAGTGCTAGTGCTGATATCCCCAATGATTGCCAGGGCTTCCTTCAGTGCCTGGTACATGCGGAGCGTCTCATCGCGGCGCTGCGCCTGCTCAGCCGACTCCTCCATCAGAGTGTTTTGGTCCTCAGAAGAATACAAGTGAGCCAGGAGCTCTGCGTTGATAAATTCTTTTACCTATTTCATCAGAAAAAACAAACAAAAAAACCCCAAACCACCAAAGAAATAAACAAAAGAAATCTCTGCGGGAAATACAACACTGAACAAATACAGTGGAGACAGGCATACTTCAATGTAACCGGTTTCTCCTACTAGTTTTCACCAAGTCTACTGGTCATGCAGTTTTTGTTAGGTGACATCAGGGACAAGATGCAGAGCTCGGACTGAGCTGATGGTGCAGCAGCCTGAAGTCTAGCTGTGTCCCAAGGAAAGGCTGGCACATGCAGCTGGGCCCTGCAGCTGGAAAAGGATGGACTGGACCTTTTAGCAGCTGCCTGCCCACAGATGGGCTTATGGCAATTACAGAGCCACTTTCTGAGACAGCAGTTCACATCTGACTATAAGATGGTTTTGTGCAGTTGCTCCACAGTGCACTGGGGCCTTTTTTTGGGTCTGTCTATGAAACACTAGACATGGTTGGAGTTAACACTGTTCTACATCTTTAAGGTGACACCTATGTTTACATTTCATTTCAAACAGGCTTCCCAACAGCTCCCAGGAGTCAGCTGGCATTTTGGTCCAATTCTAAATGGCTGACTGAGAGGTAAATGACAGTACCATCAGATATAGATTCCCCATGGAATTAGAATTTTCAGGCTTTATAACATCTGTGTCACTTATTTTCTTAGCAACAATTTACCCTACTGTAGACACTGTCTTTCATTTCCAACAACTCTGTCAGATTCTGAATATCTCATCCACACACACTCCAACTGAAGGGAGAAGTCTCCAAGTAATCTAATTTACTATACTGATTTCCTGCTATGCCTGCCCTGGTTATGGAAACCTGGGCCACATTAAGAGACATAAAAAGCTAGAGGTACTCTGATTAAATAAGACTGTGGTAAATAGACCAACTGCTGACCTACTAAATCCTTGCATTTAAGACTTTGGTTGCTGTTCTGATCTATTTCTCATCTGGTGCTTTGCTCTATAAAACTTTTTTGAGCTGGAGATACTGACAATAATACATTCCCAGGATTCTGATTACATAAACCTGAGCTCCGTTTGTGCTAGTTTAGCAACGCTGATTTAAATCCTGACAGCAAGACTAAGGCACTGTTTGTGTTCAGGAGAGGTCAGTGAGAGCAGTCAGGCTGTTCAGGCAGGGGACCCTTTCTGGTCACCCAGCAATGAGAAGGCGGCCAGGACAGACCTCACAGGGAAACAAAACCATATTGCCTAAGCTTGGCTGTCATTCCCCATTCACGTATGACAGGAGATGCACAAATTATTAGCAAAGCCTGCAAAAATTTTCCATGAGTTTCATGCTGTTTTCCAGTAGATGGTACTGATCAAGAGCCAGAGTACACTACTTTCCTCATGATTGCCAAAAACTCCACATTAAAAACAGATATCATAGTTAAACAGCATCACATTCTGCTCGATGAAATGAGCATTTTAATGGCATCACTTCAAAAAAAGAAGAAGAAGTCCTAAAATTAGATTAAGGCCAGAGCTGATTGTAAAAGCATTGTTAAACCACAAATATCTGTTTGAAAAAAATCAGCCTGTGACAATTATCATGAGAGGTCCCTGTCTGTTACTAGCAGGGGACTCAAGTAACTGCCTGAACCCCTCTGGAAGGGGAAGACTGCTGTGTTAAGGATGGTTCTTGGATCAGCCTCCTGCCCTCTGCAATTGGATGTGCTGTACTAGACAGAGGAAGATCTTCCACAGTAGCCACTTTCTCCAGCTTGGAAATGGAAGGGGAAGTGATGCTTACACCTTTGATCCTTTCTGGAAAACAGACTCACAGGAATGGTTTAAAACGTTTTCCTTCACAGACCTGCAGTCAAAGTTGAACCACAGGAAGCATCCAAAAGGCCAGTGCCCCAAAACTTGCCCTATCACCCTGAAGTGGGGTAAGGTAGGCTTGTAACTTCATCAGTGAGAAGACTACAACACACATCACTGCCTCAAATGCAAACATAACCCATTCCTTACCCTTCAGTTTGGTAGTAACGAGTACTTTGGAGTTTTTCTACTCAGCTGAGATCACTACCAGCACTGCTCATGGAGCATACACTGACTACTCTGAGACCACCCCTCAGAGAGAATACCAAGGATACCTGGGCACCATGAAATATAAACTGGAAATGTGTGTTTTGTTTGGGCATGTTTGAATTACTAATGGTAACTCAATGCAGTTCTGTGTGGTAAAAGTATTTTCTTTTAAGGTAATCAACATCCACCCTAAGGGAACAATAAGCAATGCATTTGGAATACAATAGTCTAGGTTTAGGCCTCAAAATATGCTCAGGGACAACATCTGATTATTTTCTGTACACTGAGTTTGAATCTGATACTTTCCTTGAATTTTAAGTGCTTGTTTACAGGCCCACAAGGTGGAAAGGAAGTTCTAGGAAAACTTGGGAGGTTACAATTGTCATGGAAACAAACTCCTTGGGATCGATTTGTTTCCAGAGTTTTGGAGGCAACATGATGGGGCAGCAGAAAATACAGAGTATGCTCATGAGGGGGGAAGGAGGGTGTTTTCACTTAACTCCTTGTGGATGTATTGGACTTTTGAAGACACCAAGGAACACACACACAACTTAAAAGGACCCACCTTCCATCACAGCTCCACAGCTTTCCAGGTCTCTGCACAACCTTTTGGCATGGCTCAGCAGTCTTAATTCAACCATTTCTTTCTCTTTTTAATAGCTCTGATTTTTTTAAATTGACATTTTAGCTATTTTTAATATAGTATTTTATTGCCTATGCTGTACAGAAACAAGTTCATTAGTGCTTCTAGCCCCACTCTTCACAGTCCTTTAAAATGCTTTGATTCTTTGCCACAAATTTAAACTGTAGGATGGAGGGATAGGCCTGAGCTCACAAGGAAGCCCAAATGAGGCCAACTGAAAGGTAGCTGATATTTTAAGCATGTTTTTTCTGCGTGCCATGGCCAGCCAGCATGGCAGGCTCTATCAATGTCACTAACAGCTGATGAGATTGAAAGTATAAAATCTTACAGTAATCTACTTCTGAGTAACACACACACTTCAGAGACCCTTAAACGATTCCATATGAGGAGGTGAGTGGCAGAAAATTTAATGTAAGCTTTCAAAAGGAACTGCTCACCGAGCTCTGCTGTTGATAAAATGAGAGCTAAAGCCCAGTCCTTTCAAAAGGCACTGGAGATGGGCTAAAGTCAAAGCAGCAGGTTGCTAGGGGTGATCTGGAAAGAGCAGTGAGAACACACTCACCTTAAAAAGTCAAGAGTGTGGCTGATTTCTGGGAAAATAAGGCAGTTCCATTATTCCCATGTTTTTTGTAAAAACTCACCCATGGCTAGACTTGCAGCCTGACTCCTCTAAACCTAAAGAAGTTAATGAAATATCTCTTGCCCTCATGCAAAAATTCTACTTGTATTATATGTACCAGAAAATCCCACTGAAATTTTCTGTCCAACCACCTAACTCTTAAATGCAACACAAAGTCCACAGGGCTAATGAAATCCATCAGATGAAGGCTAGAGGTGGCTCTGAGTCAAAAGTAAATGCTACCTTCTAACCAGATTTGCCTCACAGCATATTGTATTCCTAAAGACTGATTGGTTTGATGACCTCACGGAAACGGTGCTACTCATAACTAGCAGGAGCTGTGCTCCCCATTAGTAATTTATATGGCAGCACTGGCACTAATATTAAGCTTAGTTTTCAACAAGGTCCATTCAGAACTCTGCCAGGCAGCAAAGGCTGAGATCCTACTGCAGTGGAATAACAACAGTATCTCAAAGCCATTTCTTTAAGCAAAGAATCTTCAAATCTAAGAAAGACACACACAATAAATCAACCAACCACATCTGCTTATCTAAACAACACTGTCCAAGGTTTCCAGATTTATTCCTTTAAAATGGTAACCTGAAAATATAGAGAAACTCAAATAAAATAAGAACTACTTTATGAACCCATGACAAAAGGCTGTAGATTGAAAATCAAGGAAGCACAACTCTGCTTTGCTGCTCTCACAGACGGCCTAGATGGAGCTCCCAGTTTTCCTATGAGTTCTCCCTTTTCTTCTTATAGCAAAACCCCCCCGCCCCAAAACAACAAACAAGCCAACCCCAAACCTAGTTTGATGTACCTTTAAATAATAACTTACATTCTGACTGATATGTACATTAATTCAGTCTTTAGCATTTTGGGGTAAGCACTAAAGGCAGTGTGCCAGCCTTTGAGAAGGCTGCAGAACGTCCTAGTACTATGGACAATTGGAATATTTTGTCTAAGAGTGTGACATTTATGGGAGTGTGTTCTCTTTAGTACGCGCTGTTGCTGCTGCTGCATGCAAGAGGTGTGCTTTAGAGTAAGAGATTTGACAGACATGTTGAAATAATTTAGAACCCTGGCTGCTACTTACGTTATTGATCATAAGATGCATGATTGTTTTCGGTATCAAATCTCGGATACATTTGTTAATAATAGACATGTAGGAGTCCACAAGGTTTCGAATTGTCTCCACCTGTCTCTCCAGCTGGGGGTCCATTGAAAAATTGTCTGCTTGGCCATTCTCCTCATTTTCAGCCTACACAAAAGAAAAATAAAAAGAAAAGTCAAGTCTTTCAGATTGCAGTAAACTGGGAATATACTGGGGAAAAAAAACCCCTGAACTTAAACTGTAGTAATCCAGCAATGTAACTCATACAAAGACTACCCAGAGGTTAAAATATAAAGTACTGGACTTTAATGTTCAGCATCATGAAATTAGGACCTTTAAAGTTAATGCCATATGAGACCTTTTGCACAAAGTACATTATATATTTCCAAACAAATAGTAAAGAAAGTGTTCAGACAAAGACTTGTGGTGGTAAATGACACACCAAAAAATTATCACCTCAGATCACTTACTGCAATACTTACTAACAAATCTTTTACCATTCAGATTCAGTCAGCTTGACCCATGCAAGAAAGCAGCACCCTAAGTCTGAATTTTGAATGTTACCCTCCTATGGGTAAAATCCACCCGTGTTACTTAAGGCTGACTTGTTTGTGACAAATTCCATAGTTCAGCCTCAAACCTGCTGGGTGAGAATGGCACCTATATAAACAAAGGATTTATGAAGGATAACAGCAAAAGCATCAGTGGTTCCAGTGCTCAAGGCTCAGCATAACATTTGCTGGATTATATATTAGAGGTCTCTTTTTCATTGGACAGAAAAACACTTCTTTGTATGTAAACAGCTGAGCTAATTAAAGAAAATACCAGGAACTTTAGCTAGAAGCTAAAAGGCCTGTACTTTGCTCCAGTCTGGCCTGTATAAATATAAGAAAACCTACAAAAAGAATAGTAGCCTTTTGGTGAAAAGCAAACTGCTTTCTGAGGTTCAAAGATGCCAAAAGAAGGGAATTTCTACCCAGAAAGCACAAAGAACAATGCTCCCCAAAATCTGACATATAATACTTCTCCCTGAAAACGACCGCCAGAGCCTTGGTACCTTGAACTATAAAATCTAAATCTGTTCTGTGAGTACCTGGAAGCATAAAAATCATAGAATCCCAGAATGGTTTGGGTTGGAAGGGATCTTAAAGCTCATCTCGTTCCTGCCATGGGCAGATTCCTGCAGGCACCCCCTTCCACTAGACCAGGTTGCTCAGTGCCCCATCCAACCCGGCCTCGAACATGAAGAAAGAGAAAGTACTTGCAAAACTGAAGAACCCAATAAGGACAACTAGTTATGTATCAGCCAGAGCCCTACTAGCACAGCTCCATTTACAGTGGAGTGTTTAGCTAAAATCTGCATATCTCTGGTGCTTTAGAGATTCCTGGAGCAGTTGAAATGAGTATCTCACCCATCAGTGAAAGGCCACTAGAGCTAGATATGCAAACATCACCAAAGAGGCTTCTCCTTGCATGAAATGCCTTCTTACTAGGCCAAAAAGGGATTTCTAGTTTCATCTCCTAATGCAGGGCCAGTTTCTGCTCATTTAGCACTTCGCATCTACTCCTTTTAAACTACATCTTGGTCAGTCCAGTCTAAATGAAATGGCATGTTTGTGATTTGTTAAGTTATAGTTTTGTACCATTTAGAAACAAAACCAAGTGATGGCAAAAGAAGTTTCAAAAGTACAGGTGAACTACTGAAAGAAAGCTAATCTTTAAAAATAATTAGCAATGCTTCCTAAAAGTCTTGGGACTGTGGAGGACACTGAAAGAACTCTTGATGAAAATAGGGTTTTCTATGCTGTAACACCAGGAGACACATACCTAATAAAACTTAATAATTTTGTTAATAAACTGCATATGCCAAAAAGTCACAAAGTGCAGATTATCTTCCTCAGTCTCTATGTCTGAAGAGAAACTAATATTAAGTTTCCTTGTGACATATCAAATAAATGGAAAATCATACATCTGTCATATATCTGCAGATTTTAGCCAAGCAAACCAAAAATGGCCCCTTCCCAGTTCCCCTGAATTTGACTTCTATTCTCTTTCTTCTTCACTATATAAAGTGCAGTTTGTTCATGTATTTTTTCTTTTGTTTTTTTTTCACTGTTTAAATTACAGATTGCAGTAAGATTTGTAGCTGGCTAAGCAGCAAAGTGACAGATGTTTATCATTATCCTCATCAAGAGAATGTAAAGTAAAAATAGTAATTTGTCTCTGATCTTTAAGGCAAAGGGTAATAGCCTCTTGTTTGAAACTGTAACAGAACTGACTTCATACTGTTGATTTATTTTCTCTGAAATCAAAAAAGATCAATCTCCCACAAGTTTATAGTAATTTATTATGAAAGTTTCTGGCCATAGTATTCCTAATGATTTGATGTCTCAACTGAAGGCTTTTCATGCCAGAAACCATCTTGTTTGCATCGTGTCAAGCAGATGGAAATCTGCTTCCAACAGATTTCTGTGCCCTACAGTACACCTACAAGCTTTCTTTGGTCAGCTGCCTCTGCGCTGTGCCAATGGCAGCATCCATAAATGAGGTTGCTTAGTAAAGCTGGGCATTGCAAGTGATAGAGACACCCTATTCCATCTCCAGGCCATTCTTTCACAACAGCTGTTTTCTCACCGAGCACCACAGTGACTCCAGGTTCAGTGCAAGCCACCCCTCAGCCCAAGACCCTGTCCCTCTGCATTCTGGAAAGGCTCCTGTGACTCTGGTGCAAGGGATAAACCCACACTAGAACCTGTCAGCAATCTCTCACATCTTTTGCCTGCAGCTGAACAGAACAGTCAAGCTGAGTAGGAAGAGAGAATGAAGAAGGTGGAAACTGGTTTCTGTGCCTCCTTTCCCAACAGCCAGGGCAGCCCCAGTCCTTTCAGTGCTCCTCATCCTCGAGCCAGAACTTGCTAGTTCCAACAGCAAGTGTTAAGTGACAGCATATGAATCTGGGCTAAGTTTTCAGTCAGTTGACTCTTGCTTAACACTGCTATTAATTGTTGACAGGAATGGAATATTATTACTTCAAACGAACACAACTGCAATTACTTTAGGGACCTTTGTAAGCCTCCAACAAAGAAACTACAGAAGAAGCTGGAGCACTAAAAAACAGGTGAATAAAATTAATTCATCTTGGAAAACCCAAGTTCAGAACATCCAATGAAAACACACCAAAGCTACAGAGAAGCAACAGGTGAAAACACCACAGACCAAGGGAAGGTAACCCGGGAGCCAGGATGGTGCTTCTATTTATGTACACACACCCACAGAGAGAAGGTCCTTCCCTTCTGCTCTCTGCACTTCAGAAGACTGAAAATAATATCCATTCCTTGCACACTGCTGTGGGTCTCACCTGTCTTTCAGATCTGCTCTGTGCTCCCGGCATGGAAAGGACTGAAACCCAAAGTACACACCACTGCTACTCTGCTGCTTTCCTGCATTTACACACCTTCCGCACTAAGAACGTGTTAAGGATTAACTAACGTGTCATACAAGAGCAGACTAAAAACTGCATGTGAAATCCAAACCACTTAAGTTTGTGGGAATTTTACTGCTGGCTGCAGTGGAAATAGGATTTCACCCTACACATGCATTCCTACTGGAAAAGTTTTCCATCTTCCAAAGACTGTAAACTCTCTGCTGCAACAGGAATGATTTAGTGCGGTGCAAAGGGATGTGGGCAGGAGGAATTGTGTGCATTTCAAAACAAAGGAGTAGCATCTTAGAATATCAGGATAATTTTCCTGACTGTAGAAATTATAAGCGTGTTGAAGAACGTCCCAAGAAAACATAATGAAAAGTGATTCCTTTTAAAATTCACAGCAAAACTGGGTAACATAGTGAAAACAGTCCTGAGCTGGCCACACAGAGAGTGCAATACTTCTAATTTCCATGATTTCATTATATTCAGGGCAGCTGCCAGCATATTTAAGAATGTCTTGTATAACATTCCTGATGTCAGTTCCAAGAAGGAGCATTTGTCAAGCGTTTTCATTAGAGAAGTGTATCAAGCAATTTTCTGTAATCAAAAAGGCATTCTACTAGGAATGACCAAGAGGAAGCAGACTGGAAGGTGAGTGACTCCAGGGTAAAAGCCAGAGCAGCAGCAAAGCAATTCTCTGTACACTAAGGAATACGTCCATGGCTTCAGTAAGAAATTGCTCATTTAAGAGCTGCTTTCAGATCTTTCCTTTACAGATGCAAGTTCATAACAACAACCACCACCTGAAAATCTATTATTCCCTCCAAATTTTATTTATGCTTTAATTCACAGCTGCCAAATATAGAATCTATTTCATCTATTCCTGTCCAAGAAATACTTTCTTTAATGCATGAACACTCAGCACACTGCAGTTGTCTTAAATCCCCCTGCTTTTTTCTAAATCTTTACATTGACTCTCTCTCCACTGCAGTTTGATGCTGCTGTATATATAATTGAGCTAAGATCCTCTCAGCTGTACATAGCGTGCCTTTTGCCAGAGGACTGCTGAAACCACATGATGGCTTCACACAGCAAGGTTTTCTTATTGGAAGGAACCACAAGTAAATGACAATACATTACTTTTGTGTATTTACAACAAAGCAAGCAGCAGAGAAAGAACACTTCCCGGGTAGCTTGGAAGTTGTCCTTTTCCCTCACAGAGGGTGACTTTGCTACTCTCTTCCATGCTTTCAGCATCTTCTGACTTTGTATTGCTGTTCCCTTTACTGAGCCACCCACAGGCTGCCCCTTTCAGCTGTTAGGCTCTCATTAGCAGCCTTGAACTCCTCTAAGCAGAGGTTATGATCCAGCTTTCCCTCACACACACGATCTCTCTCACTTCATAACCCCTGAGAAGAATGATACACCCTAGGCTCAATTTGATTCCCAAGTATTTAACTCTCTGGATTAGCTTAAACAATCATCTACTCAGATTCTTCTCTGTGGTTACAGACATTGCATAGTACAGACCATTAGCTAAATCCTCCTGCTGAATCCCCATACTGCTCCCCAAGTACTTACATGGCTTTAGCCATCCCAAACACTGAGAATCTATGTCAGGCTCTCTTCCTGCCTTCTTCAATCAAGAAGCTGATTTGAAACTATGAGACTGAAAGGAATGATGTATTACCAGAACTCTAACAATCTGGAGTTACTTTCA